CTATTTTGCGTTACGTGTTATCAGTGACATTCTGTGGAGCAGTTGTTATGAAAGTTACGGACCAAAAGACACTCGTTAAGGTGTGTATAACAGTGTATATTTTTACACTGAGTTTGCCAGACACGAGTTCACAAATCTTTGATTGGAAACCTTGCCAGACACTCTTTCTCTTCCGATAGGACAAGGAAAACTACGAATGTAACGACATACAAACAAAATGAACCCTCTATTATATTATTGGTGGATAGCAAAAGACTTGATTAACCTTCGCTGGTTTATGATATGGCATAGATAGGAAAAATTGATTTGATTTGGAGTTACACACGAACTTTAATTTGTTAGGCCGTTTTCTTACAAATTGCAGCTCGATTTTCCCTGGCAATGACGGTACCTTTTCCCAATACTTTATTATGCAGCAATCAAATGAATAAACGTGAATATTTAGGAATGATTTGCAAGAGTTCTTTTGTTTCTGCTAATTAAGCATTTTCCTATCTGCATGACAGAAAATAGAGTAAGTGAAAAATAGAGTCTTGAGGTCAGTCTCACTCTCTACTAATCGCTAAACCAGCTCCGAGATCCTCGATCCCTAATCATATGGAGATTTGGATTAGATTAATCCAAGGACAAAATTCAAAATTGCGATGTCGGTGTTTCGCCTGCGGTGATGCGGTGTTTGTTATTTTTTTCCGCGGTGTTGCGGTGTGGACAGTCCCCCAATGTCCCCCTCTTTATTATAACATAAACCCTTACGGAACAGTAATTCATAATTTTCTTCACGTAATTTATAAATCGAAAAAGAAAACAAACTTGTCATGCATTCTAAACAACGTCTTTCAATATAGCAAGATTCGAACACGAAAACGAAATGCGAAGAAAAGCATTAAAACAGAAAAAAATTTGGAATCCAGCCCTTTTTGGAATCCGGAATCCACTGAGCTGGAATCCGGAATCCAGTACTCGGAATCCGGAATCCACAGGGTGGAATCCAGAATCCAAGACTGTCATGGATTCCCTTACATGGGGCGATGTCAACTTGTGATGTTTTTAACTTTCTGTTTTCCACTGGATGTACAAAATGAAATTCAGCTGCTATCAGGAGTCTTCTGTTATTCATGGCTAGTTTGTTTATTGGGTTTTTGGTTGAGTCAAAGTCGGAAATCAGATTTCGCATGGCATCGTTTTCGCTTTCACCTTGCTTAATGCGTAAGAGGGTTGCAAAGTCTGAAGCGATACTGGCCTTACTTGACACCTTTCAGGGGCTGCATCTCGAGTGGTAAGCCTAAGTAATTATTGTATTTGATGTTTGTTTTTATTCCTAATTTAATGAAGTCGAGCGTAGTTTATGCGGCTATTTTGTTTACGCAAATTTGTAAATTTGAGACAATGATCTGACCGAGTATCAGGTTTGTTATAAGCTTACAGATCCTTAAAAAGCCTTTAGACATTTTCTCACCGCAAATAGAAAGAAAACGTTTCAATTAACGTTTAGTTATAATTCTGGCTGTAAAAGAAAGGTTTGAGCGATTTCCTTGCCTCGAGTTCGTCTTTGAAAAAAGCGAACACCGGGAAGCCGGCTTAAAACATAAACTTCAGCTTTAAGCTCGAAGACTCAGGATTTTTAGAGACACTTTAATACTTGTCTTCCTGAATGAAAATTGTCGTCTCTGTATATGTTTCACCGAATCATATTTCTTTTATTGATTTTTAGTACTGTCTCTTGTAATTTTAATCGCTGTGCCGATTTTTTTCAGTCGTTCAGTGAACAACGCTTCCCGGAGTACTCAAAATGCCGCGCGTTAAACCGTTCAAAAATAAAAAAGAAACATAATAAATTCTTTATTATGTTAGAGCGTAACTGTGTCAATGTTCATTCAAACACTCGCCACTGCTAGCACTGCAAAAGTTAGAACCGGCTGCCCGTATAAATGATTTTGAATTTTTTTTTAACGGTTTACGGCTAAAGCCCACGCGTGCTTTGATCGTCCTGAATATTGAATGATAGCAATTTGTATCGCAATATTGTGAAATACTGCATTCTGTTGTCCTAGGTCTGTATGATAAAAACAGTGCCTCATAGTACTGTTTAACCTCAGATGTGATGTATAAGTGATATAAAAGCTTGGTTTACACGCACCCAGATTTGTTGGCAAGATTTTGTAAAGTAAACTTGTCGAACGCAAAAAATTCGGCCGGAATTTCTTTTCCAGGCCTAATTAATCTACGGTGATCAAGAGCCGTTATGGCTCTTAATATAAATGTGATCGAAGATGATTGCCAGTTTTTGGGTGTACTTATGAGGCTATCAACTCGATGTGAGATTTGGTTCACTCTTGGGCTGCTTGCAAATTATTTTTTGTAAAATCACCTAGCCTTTCCCTGAAAAGTCACACGAATGTGCTCTAAAGTTAACTGAATTGTGGAATACAAGTTTATTGTTTGATTTAAATTATAAATTTATTTATGGGAGCCTCGCTTTTATCCCTGGCTAAATCTATATATTATAGATCTCAAGTATGTTAAGGCATGGCCCTTTCTCTGTTCTTATACCCCCCCGCGAAGAAATTAGCTTCCTTCGACGATTTGAAGTACGAAGCAGAAATAATTCAACCTCCTTAACATTTTAAGAGTTTTTTTAACTGTGGTCACGTGTTTGATGACATCATGATTAAAGAAAAAGAGGAATATGACATGGGCCAATGGTGTTTAACTGTGGCAGGCAAAGAACCATGCAGTATTCATTGACTTGGTGTATAGATTTAATTTCTGTCCAGAACAGAGAAAAACCTCTCCCCATTAAGAAGTTATTTCAAGAATAAAATAGTCACATGCCCCTTTTTTAAATTATTGGTTAAACGGTAAATGGTAGTCGTCCATTCTGGACAGATTCTTAAGTAGTGAAACCAGACAATTACCTCGGTGTTTTAACATATATTCGCATTACATGTCATATCTGCGGCACATTTTCACTTTTCTCTTCCCGTAAGAAAACGGCTAAACAGGTCACGTGACCCCAAAAATCCTCTTTTAAACAGAATACTGACTTAAGGATAACAAGTTTTATGTTATTACCACGATTCATAATGTTTACGTAAATTCTCTTGAAGTTATGACTCTTTGCAGCATTTATGCAAATTAGGCTTTGGGTAATGCCTTAACATGTTTGAGATCACACCCAATGCGAAGGCTCGTTGTTTGAAAATTGTTCGATCACATGTACTGTTATGTAACTCAACTCTTGTATTGGAATGTAGTTTCAACTTTGGGCTGGTACGGCTTAGTTAAGGTTAAGGTTTTTTGAATGACCTACATTGTAAGATAATATGCACTCAACTCACCTTGGAAGAATTGACCTGGGGAACCTGGGATCCATTAGTGACAGTAGAATAAGACTGGGTAACCATGACTTTTTTGGGAGAGGCTTCCCTCCTAATGTGCAGTTGAAGACTTGAACCTGTTCAAATAATAATAGCCATTCTACCAACCTTTTGCATCATACGCATGAATAATCGACTTAAGGTGATTCCCTAGTAAAAGAACCTAACATAGATTTTAGATGAAACTTGGTACACTGATGCAATAAGTCAAGAAGATGATAAAAAGGTAATAAAAAGTGGGGGTCACCGTGCTCGTTTTGACGTCACAATGCCGACAAATACGGCTATTTTGGACCCTTTGACATAAACCGCGCGCAGCCCAAAACTAGACAAAAAGGAAAGATTTTTTCAATGATGCATATGGTATCGCACAGAATTTGACTTTAATGTATTGTTTATCCACTTACGTACTAGAAAAATGCCTTTTAATGCCCTTGTTTTTACTTTACGCTCCAAAGTAGAATTAAATTGGACACGCGCTATTCGACACGTGATAGCTCAATCCGTACAATTTAGTAAACTTGCCAAAAAACTGAACATAGATTTGTGCCAATTTTTTTCTCACCGAAAGGAAGCACTGTCCTTATTAAAATCATGAAATAAAAAATGGGGGTCACCGTACTCGTTTTTGCGGTAGAGCTGCAGAAAGTGCGCACCAAATGCATTTTCCTTGATTTTTGAGAGAGGACTGGGGCGAGTTTCAATTAGAATGTATGCGAAAAGGGGAAGAAAGTACTAAAAAATCCGTTTTTACAGAATTTACATCGAGATATCACATTTAGGACACAATGTGATAAAGAAAGCGTTTAAATGAAAATCAAAGTGAATAAGCACAAATTAAACATCCACTAACGAGGTTCTCCGTGAGGAAGTCGAACTCAGCATCACGCGTACTGCTTACGTTATGCACATTCCCACCACACTGAGTCTCACCTCGACAAGAAACAACCGCGAGCAAAAATTGCAATAGCGTTTCTCTTCGGTCAGCTTCATTTTAGTAATGTTACTTCACATGCTCTTTTTTACGGAGGCCATCTTGTTATGCGCAGTAAGAGATGCGCAGTGCAAAACCAGGGAATCACCTTAACGGAACCTTAGAGGAGAAAGGAATGATTGATTATCGCTGTTTTGAGTTTTTCGAGGCATTTACGGTTAACGGTTAGGTCTTTGCGGGTAAAAATTCATTGCTTTCCCTCACGGATTTTAATAACAGAAATCTGTAAAAATATCAAGTAGGTTAGTAGTTTTTTCAGACTGTCTCAAAACACATTTCTAAGGCTAGGTCTCTAAAAAGAAAAGGGCTGATTGAGGCTTCATCAGCCACAAGAACGACATACATAAGGGCCAAAGTTTTGACCTCGAATCTCTGTAAATGGCAATTGTGACTTAAAGACAACCTCAGAAAATGGAAGGAACAAACCTGCCACGTTTCCATATGCAGCTAAAAGGAATACGTCTTGTTTAAGATCGATAAAATTTGGTATTGCTTGGACTGGATTTACATCTCTTGAAACCCTAAAAGCAACAGAGATTAAGCCAACTTTTATTGGTTTTAAGAATCACCTACTTAAAAATTCCTTTAAATGAATCACTCCGGTAAATGCAGAAACACCCAGGTAACAATCATACTACATGCCTGCATTTTATGATATTATTCTCGTCTGCCTGCTCGATAAATTGTACTGCTGCTGGTGTCTGAAATAAAAGCAAAAATCTTGTAGTATAATGAAAACATAAGCGGCTTGATGGCTCGATCGGAAGATTGGTCTAATCAAGTAAATAGAATAGGTCCTGAATAAACACATACGTGGCAAATATGATAGAATGTTCTGTTGCAATTTGTAATAATCATCACACTTTATATTTCCTTATAAGCAATGATGATGATGATGATGATGATGATGATGATGATGATGAGGGATAGTACTTCTGCTGCGTAAAATTTTTATCCTTTGCGCTTAAACCGTAGATAAGTCATTCATTTTCAATATTCTCTCAGTAGATTTGTAGTTTTGGAGCTAACGAAGTCGCGCCAATGAGTGTTATCAAGGCTGGTGGGCCAAAAAAGGCCCCTTGTTCTCATAATCGGAGCTTATTCAAAGCTCTCGTGCAGTTGAATTTGCTTCTTCGGCGGTCATGAATAATTAATGATGTCCACTCATTCTGCGCAATGAACAATAATTGTGCTGTTGACGTTGTTGTTGATGATGATGATGATGATGATAATGATGATGATGATGATTATGATGATCATGATGATCATGATCATGATCATGATGAAAAAGACACCATTATTGGCCATTTCGGAGTTGCGTAGGGAACTGGGGCGGGTTTCAAATTTAAACTAATTGATAAACTGACACCATCATATAAAAGGTCATGTTGAGATTGGGTATTTGACCAAGTTTAGTGCTCTAAGGTTGAAAAGGGATCAAGTTAAGACTCTTGAAACACGGTTAAGGATCCATACAAACGTCTGTAATTTTGTGACAGCGTCCCCAAAACCAGTGAAACTCTTTACAATATTTTTTCCGTTTTTCTGGTAAACTGAAAAATTCGCCAAGCATTTACTACTTGAAAGGAACTAATTCGAAAATCACTATGTTTGCCCATTTTCAGGAATATCACAGAAATCGTAAAAAAGATTAAAGAGTTTATATGGTTTGGGGGGACAATCCTAACATGACCTTTTATATGGTGGTGTCAGTTTATCTTTTTGTCTAAATTTGAAACTCGCTCCAGTTCCTTACGCAACTCTAAAATGGCCAATTGGTATCATAAGGGGATTTTATGGCAAGGCATTCTTTAGATAATGGTTCGCAGGCTCAGGCGGCAGGCTATAAGAATAACTTATTTCCAGCCAATCACAATCTAAGGCGTTCCGGACGATATCGTTCTTCAGCATGCTTTAACACGCGCTCGCTCCTTTCGATCGCTCACCTTCATGCTATTCACGTCACTTGATTGAACTGAATTTTCACAACCTAAGTTAACTCTGTGTTTAATAACTGGTCTCCTCTGCAAACGAGAGCGCCGCCGATCAGAGCTTTGGTCTCGCAAAGTTTCCAGAGTCCTCCCTATCGTGAAAATGCCTTCATGTAAAATGCCTTTTATGATACATGTATATGCTGTCTCGACTGTTTTTACGGTAGCCAAGGCTTCTTATTTATCATCACGAGAAAGATATCGTTATATATTATGATTTTAATTATCTTGCGCTTTACCGGCTTATTCAGCGTTTTATTGATTACACTGAGATAAAACATGGATCCTCCCTTAACCATTACTGGGTATTAAGATCCGATGTATAAACTACTAATTATGTGTCTTAAGAAGTGTCAGTAAAACGCGGGATGGGGGTCGGGGTCGGAGCCGGGTTGGGGTCTATCGTTTGTTAAAAGAATGCTGTTGTAGGGTTAGGGTCAGGGTTGATACTAACGCTAACCCTAATCTAACCCTAACCCTAACCTAACCCTTAACCTAAACATAACCCTAACCCTAACCCTAATCCTAACCCTAACCTAACCCTAAAGCACATTCTTTAAAAAAAAAAAGATAGACCCCAGCCCCGCGTTTTACTGACATCCTGTCGTGAGGGAAAATGAGATTCGACAGAGGATGGAATAGGAACGAATGAGCAACGCCTCAGTTTGATGAGTTCAAAGTACTATCGGAGCAAACATAATGGGAAGTCACATTATACTTACTGGATTTGTCCTTGGCGGTGTCCACCGTCCTGTTGCATAATAGTGACCACTCAGTGCCTGATTATTGACACACATCAGAATGTCGGTATTTGCCTATGTGATTTATGCATACAACAGTTAATTTTTTGACTTTCTACCCGTTAAAGAGTGTTACTGTAAAGTTTTTTTGCGGATTTACTTCACCTATACCGCAATCGGTGCATTGCAATTGAGAAGGACTATATTACGATAAGAAGAGAGAGTTTATTAAAGCATTTTTAAAATAGGTTTGTGGCTTTGTCATCTTGAAAAATGGATTAAACATTCATGAAGAAAACATGGCAAAAATAATTGATTCATGTTAAATCAAAAGAGCGTCTGTACGGAAACCCTGATAAAAAGTTTCCTCCGTTTAGATGCAGCATTTCCTCGTACTTGATTTAAAAAACTCGAAAAACAAAGACGTCACAGATCATGAAAGCATTAAATTAAGCTTAGATTTGTGTCATTTGCATAAAAGCATTGGCGTCTGTATACACTTTTCTAGAGCTCGCCTTCGAATGAAGACAATTCTGCTGCTCATATTTTATCTAGACTACTTTCTGTATTTAAGACCATTGTTATTCATTCCGACCATTGTTTTCAATTTTTGGGAATATCACACGAACTAGCTAGTACAAAATTGACTGATGAAATGGCTTCCTTAAACTGCATATGACAAGCTTTGTGCTTGTTTTCATCTACCTTGTGTGTTTTGTTTTTCCAATAGACCAATTTACAGTTGTGGGCTTACTACCCTAGCCTTCGAGTGAATGTGAAGTTGACCGTCTGTATCAAAACAATGTCAACCCCAGCCTTCATTTTCCATTCACATCTGTAAAGGGCCTACTTGGTACAAGTTAGTTGTCAATTGCTCGTTGAATTATTTCATTCTGCGTACAACTAAGTGTGTAACTATGATGAAATTTCCCTAGAGTAACATCCCGTGACGCGCATGGGAAAAGCAAAATTACGAATATATAAAAGTGCATTCTTGAGATATAATAACTTACCATGAATCGGTCATCACTGAAACCAACTGCTATCCAGTCTCCTTTCCCACTCAGCTCGAATTCAACATGAGTTGAATTTGTGGCATTGTAGGTCACCAGAAAATCACAATTTTCGCTTGAAGTGCAGGAGGCTGGTGATGCATAACAACCTTTAGTTTGTCCACAGCCTTCTGTAGTGAACTAGAGATAAAGCAGATTAATATAGGAAAAAAAGTCGCTTATGAAAAATGATCTCAAAAACGAAGCAAGAAATAAAAACTCGTTCGGAAAAGGTGTGTCCGCCATTTCTAAAGAGACTAGGTTAGTTTGGGCACTAAGTTGTAATAATGCAAATCCTTGAAACATGATTTGTATTCTTTATTCATGCAAAGAAAGGCTCCGACAGACTTAAAGTCAAGTTCAGAAGGATAGATTTGGATTCCCACAAAATTAAGGTCAAACAATGACCAATATATGATATGTAAGGCTTTTACTGTCAGCTAAACTGTAGTATTCAGACCATATTATTCCAAAACTATTTCATTTGTTTATCACGGGGCATATACCTAGCTGTCATTAGCACACCAAGCAACCTGTGTCAGCAGAGTTGATGAGCACAAAAATATGATTTGAAACATTACCGCAAAGTCGCAAAAGCACTAACTTTACCATTGCCTGGCTGTTTAGTCATTGGCTAGTAGATGACTTCTATATATCATTTACGAGTAACGAAATCTCGCAAGAATAATAAGGAGTTTACCAACCGTTAGAGCACAAAGTTTGCTTGACAACGAAAGTAGAAGGATGGACGACAATAATTTCTATATAAAAAAAAAAATTCCAGATGTTAAAAACGAGTTAGCAAAATTCTATCTCGTCTTCAATCTATCTTGTCCGGCTCATGACGAGAAAAGGCTTTTTTTTCGTGTATTTGTAAATACCCTTAATGAACCTTTATATCACTTACAATAAGCACATTTAACTTTTAATCAGAGTGGTGATAAATGTTTGTCGTGTTGTATACACCACTGCCTCTACTATCCGTTGGAAAGAATGGTTTCAGAGCCTAAGCATCCGTATTTGATTGTGATAATTGTTAAAGCTTGATTGCAATGTTAATCATGACAATTACAAAATTCTCAAATCTGATTGGCTATCAACTGTCCTGATTTCAGTACAAATCATACTCGTGATTAAACAAATCGGACTCCCGCTACGTGGCCGTTCGATGTTGCTAATCACTCTCATGATTACAGACCGAATTGGACTCCACTAACTCCTGTTACCACTTTTAATTGGGCCGTGGAAGCACTTGATAATCCTTGTAAAATATAAAATGCGGTAAACCCTAAAATAGTTATTAAAATATATTGACGTTGTTACGATTTATCTCTAAGTGGGTATACAATGTAACTATAATGAATGCCCCCATGCGCCTATTCATAGATTTTTGTTAAATCATCAGGGATAAACTAAATATGTAAAAAATTATTAGTGCGTGATCATTCAAACAACTAGCGTTGTCAAAATCAATAAATTTTTAGTAACAGGTAAAAATATATCTGTCGCCAGGTGTGTTTCAATACAAAATCATGTTACTCGAGAGCAGTTTATAGGTGGTAAAAATTAAAAACCTAGCCATTTGCCACTTGTTCAGTTTTACCGCATCATGACCACACGGACAAAAAGATATGTAGCGATCTGGAAGTATCGACTTCGTTGTTCTAAGTTGTTCTTCGGGTCCATACAACGGCCTCACTGCCAATACTTCAATTCGCTATATTGACTGTCCATGCATTATATCTTACTGTCATTCGTATTAATATTTTAAGCACAAAAAAACTGTTAAAACTATTACAAGAAAATATTCCAGCCACTGCCTCTTAATCATCGCGTTTGTGTGAGGAGTTAGCTTAATTAATGCATACACACCCAAATAAAACTTATGATACTTAGTCGAAACGAGAAGTAAAACACAAAGGTAATGTCATGCAGGCTACAAAGCGAATAGCAGTTTAAATATCCCTACTATAGTATTCTAATCCGCCGTTACCTAATACGCAGTTGGTGATATAACAGGATCATGTCTGTCCTTTAGTATTGCTAAGCTAATGACTGAATAATACTGCAGTTTTGACAAAGGGAAAACTGAATGACGGCTATATACCGTCGGTATATAGACATTGTTAAATAGCTCTTTCTCTTCTCTTACCTTTGCTGATGCCAGCACCATAATAATGCTTTCTGTCGGTTTTGGTTATGAATTGAGTCAAAGAAGGAACAACCTTTCACGCTTCCCGTGAAGTGAGTTGGTAGTAATCTTGAAGTTAACAAGAGGTATCTTATGCACCGCAATAAATAAGTCTTATATTGTCATAGAGTGATTTTACCTGATCTGTGAAATAAAAAAAAACAACAACTAGTGTGAAATAGCTAGCGCAAACAAAAGAAGACAATGTAATTAGTTTATAATAGCTCGTAGTATTCTACTACCTATTTCAAGGGTTAAGTAAAATCACTCTACGACCGCCAAATAAGCAATTAGTAGAAACCTATCTACATATTGCACGATCATGGTCACGCAGCAGCTATAGACTTCCGCATTCTATGATCTGCTTCATTAACTGACTTCTTAATGGCTGTTGTTTCTTAGAGCACAGATATCACGATACAATCAGGAGGGAGAACTCAACATCTCTATCGGCAGATAGGTCCCCGAGACAACTATCAAAGGCAAAGAAATCAGGATCAAGCCCTCCCACCTTTTTAAAAGAAAAAGCATGCTTACGTGCCTTTAAGAGGGTTTGGTAGGTTCGCCAAACAGTGTCTACAATTTCCCCTTTGAGAAAATGTGGGGGGGGGGGGGGGCACTTGCGGGGGAGTAAGAAGAAAATGGGAGACCGGCATGGGAAGCCCCCCAGGATCCCCTCGGCGGGAAAGAAATGTTGGGTAGGCCACCCCAACACACCCAAGGGGTATCCAGAAGACACCAAACTTGCCGGCCGCAGCACACCACACCAAA